GTTCTCGGCTCGCTCTCCTCCTCCTCTGCTTTAACAATCACCAGACAAATGAACAGCTTAACGTCACTTTGTCTTGACGCGTCTCTTCCAATCCAGCCTCCCAAACATCTCATAGCAGGCTGTTGGGTTACACTAATCACTCTCAGTATGGGAGAAACAGCTCCAGAAATACGCGCTCATGACTGCGCTACACAGGCATAAATCAAAGGCATCATTTTATCCAGCCGCTCGGTGATTGTGATGTGTTTGTATGGAGGGGGAAGGGGAAACATCAGCAGGCAGGACTGAGAGGAAAGGATGGTTGCTTGGAAACCCTAGGCGAGAGAGAGATGGAGACAGAGAGAGAGAGAAACAGAAAGAGAGAGGAAGGATGGGAAGAACAAGCGAAGGGGTGAGGAGAGTATACATATAGAGTTGACCAAAGCATTGTTTTGCTTTGATTTGAGGGAAAACAAGTGATGTGGTGTATTGCATTACATGTATATGTCAAATCACAGCGTTTAATACAAACACAAGCACAGTATGGCAAGACGTTTAACATTAAATTTACAAAGTTTTAGATGCTACTTTTTTCTGTTAAGTACTACTTATTTACAGTACAAAGTCCCTTTAAGGCAAGTCATTTCACTTGGCGGCAATCTTTGAATGGCAAGCTACTATTTATTTGAATAGGGAAACATCAAATTCTCCTAAAGGTCAATTCCATGCAAATGTCAACCTTGCCATAAATAATTAAGTTTTTACCAAAACAGCAAAACCCTTTCTAGGTTTTTTGTGTAAGCTTGTATTTTACAGTACTGTAATGCTGCATTCACACAATACGTGGAAGAAGCGTCAAGCATGAGTGATTTACATGTTAAGTCAATGCGAAGATGCAAATAGATATTCTGTGGCGCGAATGACGCAATTCACGCGAATGAAGCAGAGTGATTAGAGTTCATAAAGCACATAAACACAGCTATTCTCTATATAAAATCCATATTAGCCATTTAGCAACGAATCTAGAGTCCATGATGTGAATTCGCATCTATTGTGAGGTGAATTCGACACCTGAAAAAAGCGGATTTGATGCGCGAATTAAGCGAGTAAACTCAATGTTCATCTGTCCATTTACACACGAATAGCATGATTTATCCGCCTGTGCCCTGTTTGGTAATTAAATTGATTAAAACATTCTTTTGTCAAATAAACGATTTTTCTAGAGTCATCCACCATAATTCTATAGCTCAAAAGTATCGTTTCAGGCACCAATACCATTTAAAAAAAATTGATTTAGCATCGGTATCGAAATAACCCCAAACGATACCCAAGCCTGCCTTTTTGTCACATGTTTATTTTCCTCGTTTAAAATATTAAAAATGTTTACAGATTAATATTTTTCTGATCCCATAAGCCTGTGGTTAATTGTTTTGAAAATATAAACAGATGTTTCAATATAATGTTTCTGACAATTTCTCTGTGTTTTTATTTTTCAAGATTTTACTGCAAATGTCACATCCATAACACTGGAATTGCACAAAATTGATTAAATTTTATTTTTAGAATCACTAATGAAACTTAACAAAAACATTCTCTTAAATTGTTTCTACACGTTAAATTAACATAAATAAAACATTATTTTTTTCAGGTTGCTGAAGCTAAAGTTTATGCGTACTAGAATGGAGCAAGATCACAAAACCAACCTCCTTCGTGACCGTTTCTGGAGGACACAATTATTCAATCAAACTATGGATCTACCATAACAGTCAATAACATATGTGTTACATGAGATTATCCTTTCAATAATCCAATAATCCAATCCAATAATGTCCAATCATGCTGGTTAATCTCCCAAAACTATAGCAGGTTTCTAATAGTTTCCATCATGTGATTTGTATTTGAATATGTGGAGGCGGGAATTAATGAGGTAGGACAGGACTGACTTTACCTCGTGTACATTTCATACAGATTACAAAACCAGAGAACATTTCTTTTCAAGTGCAGTTGGATCAATTAAAAGTAGATATTTCAAGTTTTAGTCTGGGTTGGCCTGTGAGGCAAGTATTCAGTGTGTTTGCTGACCCTAGAGGCAGGGCAGTGCACAGGGGTATGGCCCGGTGGCTAGAGCCACTGCCCCTCTGGTTTATAAGAATAACGCTGCAGAAACTTTCATAGAGAACACCAGTCTGGACGGAGCCACTTCTCTGCTTTACTGATCGATGATTGGCTCCTTTATCAGAACCAAGGACTTCTGTCGCTAGAGTAGAGCTATTGAAAGTCAAACTTTTCCCCATTTGAAACTGTATGAGTGACACTTCTTGAGTACTATTGTCTTTGTTATTTATTAGCCAGTGCTTATTTGTTAAAAAAATAATAGTTAATATTTAATAAAGGGTATAATATTTCAGACAGGCTAGCAAGATCTTGACCGGTCTGGAAATTAGTGCCAGTTTGCAGTATGAAAATTGATGCATTTAATGGATTAAATTTTAAAACTGCTTAAAATTTTTAAAAAAAAGTTAAAATATATTGAGTTTGTTCAGATATTTGTCTAATATTTGTTTGTTTTACAGCAACATCAACAAGCATGGAGATGAAAAAAGTAAAAAGTAAATAGTACTCCACATTGTGTTGACACTGACATCAAAAAAGTTATCTGCAAAATCAGTAATTAGTAAAGCTAAAAGTATTTTTGCGCATACGTTAGTGTATAGAGACAGCTTTTTTAAATTAGACCCAACTTGATGATGTGCTCAAACATAGGTGCTCAACACATACAACCTGGGACTCCAATAGCATCATGTAGATAACCAGACTATGATTGTTTCTCAATTTCCAAGAACGGACAGCGTTCTCGTGGAGAGCGATCTAGCCAGGTTACCTTAGAAGAATAAACTCAGGAGATCGAGAGAACACAAAACGCGTCCTGTGAGAAATGACATGCTGCGTTCTTCTTGATGGTCACTTGACTTTTATGTATTTTTAACAGAAAATTATTTAGGCATTTCAGCATTACTGCAACCATTTATTGTTTTCCCCTTTTCAATACATAACAGGCATAAAAACCTTTTCAGCAAATAAACACCCTTAATGTGTTTATGCCTTTATTAAGATTTCAATGTTAATGTTAACTTTCACAGTCTCGTTTTGGTAAACTCCTGAAATAAATAACTTATATTTCTTTAATTATAAATCTATATAAAATGCTGTACTTCCCACCTTCTTTATTCAGTCGCAATGTATTCTGGGACTTCTAGAGCGAGACGAAACGTTGTCAGGGCTGGTAAAAATTTGAACCACTGGTCCAGTCGGCCCAGTGGAAATAATCCTAAACGCTGAACCCTGGTTGAGTTTTGAAACTGAACAATGACGATTGATGATGCCGTTAAACGAAAACACGAGGACGCAAGATCGCTGAAGAACGCATATTGAGAATCAGCCAGTGACCAAACATTAGCAAATGCTACTCAGCTAACTTTTGCTAGCTGGTAAAAATCTAACAACAACTTTGTCAGCTACAATTCCTTGTTCAACCATCAAGCATTTGTGACTGACAGCATGTGCGCGCACACACACACACACACACACACACACACAACATGTGCACACAAACACACACACACACACACACACACACACACACACACACACACACACACACACACACACACACACACACACACACACACTTTTAATACAACACATAGCTGTTATCCTTCTTTCATCATATAAAAGAAGGTTACATTAGCATCCACTAGCTAGCTATACTCTACTACCCATTCCAATTTCTTCAAGGATCCAGCATTTTTGACAGCATGCATACATGAACACATACAGTATTTATGCACATCGTATGACATATAAACATATCATCAACTGTTATCATTTTTAAAAAGCTGAATCAAAACAGCAACCGCAACATTTCCAGCCACAATGTTTTCCATATTGTCTTTCTCAATCTACACATGTATATGAACCTTAAGTTTAATCATCAACAATACAAAATTGGCATATGAGGTAGAAAGAAAGAGAGTAGCATTGGTAACCACTAGCGAGCAAGCTGAGAAAATCTACCCACTACTTTGCCTGTCACAATTCCTTCATCAACTATAAAGCATTTGAAGCTGACAGCGCTAATCCACTACAAATGAACTAATGAGAAACTTCAATGAGAAATAAGCCAGGTTAAATAAAGCTCAAACACCCTTTATAAGCATTGTATGTTTACTCCACAGACGTCTTGGCGCATTACTGTCAACACTTTTCAGTTTGTTTTTACAAACTAAGGTACGAGTCAAATTTGTTACAAACCTGGATGATCTCAAAACATTGCTAACACCCCTATCATTTAGCATGAACTGGAGGCTAATGCTTTCCACAAAATTACCACTCTTTTCCTTTACGTCTGACTAGGTAAAAACACATTTCAAAGGGCTTGAATCCAAAACAAGTCACATTGGTTCTTTCTATCTGGTTGCATCATACATTGAGATGGTACCCAGACATATCAGGGAGGGTTTGACTCCATGTTTCTCCCATAACCCCTCACACAAAACAATAACAACTTCCACAATATTTCAGGTTGGCTCATTTGCTATAGCTATACCTTCCCTCACACATCTACTGGTTTAGAGAACTCTTTCCCTTTTCAAAATAACAAACAAAAGCTGTGTAACACTGTTTAACTATGCACAATGCTGCACTAAATATAACTAAAATTGCTCTGAGCATAGTTGATTTTCAATGTATAGCTATTAGAACCAGCATTTTGGAGAAATTGGATTTTTCAGTGAGCAGGTCTACAGCACAATACATAAACAGAAGAGATAAACAAAATAATCTGCCATGCACTGATAAATGCAGTCAGATGCCAAAGATAGCATTTACAATCTGGAAATATGTTCCTCATAAGCATTTAGGACACCACATTTATCGAAACAAAAAATATGAATGCAAAAAAGCCCCAAAGTATATGCATTGATTTATGAGGACTGTTTAAATATAGATTCAAGTTTACTTACACGGCACAGTCCGGAGGTAGAGGTTGTCACGTATGATTTGCTGAAGTTCGTGGTCCACTGAACCTTTCTGGAACCGTAAATTGAGATAATGGCGAAGATCTTTATCCACAACACCTCCTGAGGAATGTAAACAAAAAGCACCAATAAGTTAACTGGTAAATGCAAAACCTAAGACGATTAAGTTCAAATGTGCAATTCCATTTATTCAGTATTTTTCTGGCATTTGGCTGACAGGTTATCCAACCCTGTTGGTAATGTAGGACTAAGAAGGAAGGAAGGTGGGAAGGAAGGAGGAAAGGAAAGAAAGGAAGGAAGCAAGAAAATTAGGGCTGCACGTATAATCGAAAAAAAAAAAGATCACAATCTCGATTCGACCCCCACACAATCTAATCCAACATTTCAACGATTTAGCCAATTATATTTTCAAGTTCAGGAGAAGTATAAAGGAGGTCTCACAAGTCTTCACATTATTTTAAATACGTTGCTGCTAAGCAATGTGGTGGGGCTGCACGATTAATCGGAACATGTAAATCCGATCTCGATTCAACCATACACACGATCTCAATTAAGCTTTTCTACGATTCAGCCAATGTTTTATATTGCCTACATTCAGCAACATGGACACCTTCAAATGATGTTAAGAGTGTCACATACTATATTTATAAGGTATAATTAATCCAGAAATGCTATTTCTGTCTTAATTTAATGACATATTCGTGGCTGCGAAATGACAAGTGAGGTGACGAACTGTTTGTTTACTACAGAGAGGTCGCATACATGCCCGTGATTGATGTTTACTTTAGTGAACAGAAACTGCATAGGCCAGGGGCAGACTGGCCATCTGGCAGACCGAGCACTTTCCCGCTGGGCCGATGTACTTTTTGGGCTGGGCTGATCATCGTCTTATCATCTGATCGGCCCATAAAAGGCTTAGCAGCCTATCGTTTTTTCTGCCTTATTAATTGACGCTGCTGTGATCTCTGTGACTCTCTGAAAGTAGATGCTTTTTTTCCCGGACAGACAGACCGGGCCGGCCCATTTGACACTCTGCAGCCCATTGGCTCTTTTCTGTATTGACATTGGGCTGGCCCAATCACAAACTCCTATTTTGGACTCTGTGTGAGCGTGCGTCGTCTGTGTGTATTTGTCAAAATAGTCGAGAGTCAGAGAGAAAAAACGCAAGGGAGGCGCAGAGAAATCGCGGGAAATACAGCGGCGTTTCATTTAGCGGTTCTGAAAAGTTCTCTGTTCATTCTAGTACAAGGCTAAAAACGCAAATCACGTGACCACACACATGCGCACTCTCAGCCAAGAGCTGCAGCCAGTAGTTCAGCGGGTGAGCATAAACCCCAGGTGAGAGTATAGTGCATGTCAGACAGTTCATCTGCTGGATCTGATCTCACTATAGTTGTTAAACGTGATATTGAATTCATCTTGTTGTCTCTATCTATCAACTCTTATGTCTTTTGAATCACTTGTTCTCAGGTAACTCTGTTTTGGCTGAGTGCAAAGATAAGCTAATATATTAATTTATGTAACCACATACACTGATTCTGCACATTGACTGATTGATTACCTTTATCATTTAAATTCATTGTACGTTATACTGTTATAATGGCCATTATTGATTATTAAAACTAATATTCTGCAAAAGAGACAGGGTAAAGCTTGTTCTTTTTAATGAAAATGAAAGGAGGCAGATATATTTAGGCCCTACTTTGTTATAAATATGCAGAGTGAAGATGATGCTCATATAAATATATAGTTACACAAGGCTGTTTGGTGTCTGTTAATTATAATATCAAAATGAAACAAATTTGACTTATATTATGTTTTCATTGTTTAGATAGTGAAACAGCAAGCAGGATGAGGTGAATGAGGTTATAAAGTACAATGTTCCCTTTGAATATTTACCCATGCATTAGCAGGCAGTTTTTTATGTTTATTATTGAATATAGGCTGAGTGAATAGTGTATAGAATAAGCTAAATTGGCTGTAGTGTATGAGTGTGTGTGAATGTGTGTGTGGATGTTTCCCAGAGAGGGGTTGCGGCTGGAAGGGCATCCGCTGCGTAAAAACTTGCTGGATAAGTTGTCGGTTCATTCCGCTGTGGCGACCCCGGATTAATAAAGGGACTAAGCCGACAAGAAAATGAATGAATGAATGAATGAATGAGTGTATTTTTTTAGAACTCAACAAATATCTTTATGGACAGTATACAGAAATTAAATTGAGATTAAAGTTTGTATTTATTTATTTCATATATATGGCTTTTGTGTTTTATAAAATATGAGTTGATAAAAATATTGGACGTGCATAGATAGATAGCATTTTGATTGAATGTAGTGGGCCGCTCTGGCCCAAAATGCCAGGGCCGATTTTTTGCCCCAGTCCAGCCCTGGCATAGGCTGCAAATAACAGGCAATAAAGTTGTAAATAACATTTGAGAGCCACACAGGAAGTATGATTTCCATGTATGTTTTTATTTTGTCATAGTGAAGGGGATCATGACATGAGCGCACTCGGCAGTGAAAGTGAAACCGAAAGCACGCACATAATTTAAATGATCATATGGCATTTTAGAGTAATGATTACGACAAGCATTTGAAATGTTTTTCTTTACAGCGAACACAAAGTGTTGCGCATGAGAACAAATGTTTAACAGTGTCATTACAACTACTCTAGCCTATGTACGTATTGTTGAATATAATGCAAGAACTAATCTGATAATGACAAATGTCTAATTTTACCAGTGATGAAATGGTCTAATAATGCTGTCAATGATAGATTGTAAGCATTTGTCCCAAAACAAAATTAATTCAACATAAGAATTATGAATAGTTGTATTCTGATGTCATCACTTAACTGTGCATTAATGACCAGGGCAAATTTAGAGTCTGTTCAAGTCCACCATTCTAGGTCTATACAAAATTTAGCAGTTTTACCAACACTAGACCTACACATAGGCCTAATATTATTGATGTTTTACCATACGTTTGAGAAATAACAATAATAATAGCTCAAACATATTAACCTTTATTTTACATCTACAGAACCGTGAGAAAATTGTGATCTTGATTTTTAAACAAATATGGAGGAAAGAAAGGAAAAAAGAACAGAATGAAGAAAGAAATAAAGAAAGAAAGAAAGAAAGAAAGAACAAAAGGAAGAAAGGAAGGAAGGAAAGAAAGAAAGTAAGAACAGAAAGGAAGGAAGGAAGGAATGAAGAACAGAATGAAAAAAGGAAGGAAAGAATAGAAGGAAGAACAGAATGAAGGAAGGAAATAAGGAAGGAAGGAAGGAAGGAAGAAAGGAAAGCAAAGCAGAGAAATAAAGAAAAAAAGAAAGGTAAAAAAGAAAAAGAAAGGAAGGAAGGAAAAAATAAATGAAAGAAGAACAGAACAAAGAAAAAAAGGAAGGAATGTAGGAACTAGGGAAGGAAGGAAGGAAGGAAGGAAGGTAGGAAGGAAGGATGAAAGAAAGGAAAAAAGGAAAGGAGGGGAAGGAAAAATAAAAAGAAAAGAAAAAAAGAAAAAGAAAAGAAAAAGGAAGGAAGGAATAAAGAACAGAATGAAGAAAGGAAAGGAAGGAAGGAAGGAAGGAAGGAAGGAAGGAAGGAAGTGAATGAAAGGAAAGAAAAGGAAAGGAAATGAAAGGGAAAAAAGAAAGGAAAAGTAAGAAAGGAGGGAAAGCAAAGGACAGAACAAAAGAAGGAGAGAACCAAGGAAGGACGGAATGAAGGAAGGAAAAAAGGAAAGATGGAAGGAAGAAGGGAAGGAAGAGAAAGCAAAGAAAAGGAAAGAAAAATAAAGAAGAAGGAATAAAGGAAGGAAGGAATGTTTAAAGGAATACAGAAATGCAAAAAAAATAAACATCCAAACATGATTTATTTATTAAACAAACAGTAATGTGCAGTAATGTGCCATAATAAATGATGTTTAGAATATAGACTGGCATGTTTGGAGGAGCAGAGTTCCAAAAGGTTCACTCTTAGGTCATCACAAATTGTTGATAAATAAATAATAATTAAATTAATATATAATATAATATATTAATAATAAATCAAAGAAAAAAATATACATATATCCCAAAATAAGTCCACAATATTAAATTAGAACATGCATTTTGGATCAGCCGAGTTCCACAAGTTTCACTCTTAGGTCTTTATAAATTCTTTTTGTTTTCAAGCCTCTCAAACACTCTCAAACAGAGCACGTGTCATTTAGCATTAGCACATCCTATCTGTTGAGTCTGAAGATGTCACATTCACACAGGTGACTCTAGATATTGCTCAACAGTTCAGCAACATTTCATTTGCATAGATGTATTCATCACAACAACACGATTCCCTAAAGATTCACATCCAACAGACTGTACTGTCTCACTAGCTTGTCATCAAATGCTCACCAACAACATCATGAGGCACCCAGAGACACCAAGACAACTGCTAAAAATAAAAACTAGCTTGAATAGATCAGCGTTCCACCTGAACAAAATCATGACAAATCAAAATCACACATCATCTCGCATTGCTGAGGCTCAAGAGAGCAAGACACCGCTACATTCTTCCTCTCTAGCTTCACTCATAACCTTGACCATAAGGCACAGCTGAGCACGGATACACTCGGATGCATACTTGGGAATTCAAAAAGCCAGAACACACCGGTATGTGAAAGGATCGTTTGAGAATAAACGTAACAGACGTGAACCTGCACACCATTTCACAAGTTCAGAATGCATTACATCTCATTGTCACCGGTAAACAAAGGCAAAACCCATTCACGGAAATCGGTTTTCCTTTCTAACATCAATGTAATTCCGAAATATAAATCCAGAAGGTTCAACACCTCCAAAAGATTACATTATCAAAATCCAGCAAGACATTTGGAATGGAGATGGAAAGCGACACCAAAAAAAAAAAAAAGCAACAATCAATCTTGCACAGCTGTTGCGGCGGAAAGGACACATCGGAATACCGTCACACCATTAACCACCAACCAAAACATCTCACAAGTAGACTCATCTTCATTTACCGATCCTTAATAAATATATCACTTGTCAACATCCGTGATTACAACGGCTCCCTCCTCCCCCTCTTTCCCCCATCAAACTACTGTATCCCCAAT